TTTTCAACGGCAATAGCAAGTGTCACTCAGGCAAGTGCCGCTGACGAACTGATCTACCTGCCGATACCACATGCATTACGATCACGTACCGCGCGAGGCTGTTACTATACGTTGAGAAGAAATAAATTCGCTGAGATATGGAAACGTCAAGATGATCAAATTTATAGCCATGAATGCATTATAATGTACATTTTATAGTATAGCAAAGATTCGTTGCGTCGTTGTGAAGAATACTAAATAGCTAGAAAAAATACTAGCTACCTATGACTTTCGGAAAATCTATACAAAATACAGTTAGTATTATCCTTCTTAAAATGTGCGGCCGTAGTAGGAGTAGGACGAATAGTGGAGTCCAATGGGTTATTAATTTCTTAAAATGATAATTAAAATTTAGATAATGCAAAAAGCATTTAATCGATGGAAATATGTAAATTCACACAACAAAGAAGATTCCGCTTTGACTTAAATTGCTTCAATAATATTTACAACAAATTATGTATAGCACATGGATGTCAAACAATATTTATATTATTATCATAATGTACAAATTAATCAGGATCGTACAAGTGCTAATTATAGAAGATTAATCACCTTGCATGGATGTGAACAAGGAGTGCCAACAATTACGTAATATTGCCACAATTAAATATCTATAATACATCACAGAATAGTTATTTATTATTTATACTAGCTGACCACGCGACTTTGTACCTGCGGTAGTTATTCGGTATAACAACAATAACTTTTTATTTGTAAACTGACTAAAATAAATAAATACTAAATTTCATTTCTAACTTACCGATTTCCGAGACTTGCACTAGCGCACAAAATTGACAAATAGACAAAATTTCTATCAATGATTGTGTAAAGTTTTATTTTATGGCGATAAATTACCACAAAAATTAATTGTTGTCATATCTGTCATGTACAATCAGTTATATGTAAAAAACAAATATTTTTAGTCTACTTAGATTATAAATAACCTCTGGTATAATACGGCCTAGTAGGTTATTGTAGGTGAGGTAGGTAAATACAAATTGAAATGTCTATTCAAACATTCTGAAATCATCATAAATTTACACCTTGTTGACATTCATAGTATAATTGCAGGAAGCATGTAAACTAGTAGTGGAGCGGATATTTACAAGAAATCCAAGGCATTAGACTGTGTTATTACAGTCAATGACATACATAAAAGAAGTTGGCATAATAACTGATTTTCAAATGCATCCGATTGGTTGTGAACTACTGCATTTAGTTTAAATCACAATCAAATAATTTCTAAAACTTTTAGGTAGGTATGCTTCAGTTCTCGTGAAAAAAGTATATTAGTGGAACATGTTTTACAACGCTTTATTCGCGGGACCATTATAGCACTTTCAGACCAATAGAAAATAAAAAGTACAAGTGGACCTTGGCAGTTCTTCTCCCCTAAAGTAGCTGGCCGAACTGGATAGTAGCCAGTACAAAAGAAAATAGAACAAAATACTAATAAAAAAATCTTGATGTAGGTAAAACCTGTGATGTCCAAATGTATACTGGTAAATGATTGTAACTTTGACTTCGAACAAACAAATAACTTATGTACCTATATCTGTTTATACAACTAGAACATTGTTCCATAATATTTGAACAACACCACTGTATATCTATACAAAGTGAGTAAAAAATGTACTGTACAATTTTCAAAGATTATTCAATATAATTTTAAATTAATAATCTGTGCGATCACTCACAGTAGTGAATAGCTATCATCAGTACCTGAAGCAGTGCACATACACGTAAGTTACCCAGAAGATCTTGTATAATTGCAAAGATAACGTGACTCCGTCGATAATTGACGTTATCCGTTGTTTGCGTCTCATTCATTGGACAGGAAAATTAACTGGTTCTTAGATCTCCCGGTGCAGTTATCAGCACCAATAATTATAGGTAGCATGCTAGGTATTTATTATTTCAGCAGTAAATTACCTATTTTAAAGCATGTTCAGAAGTTGTTGACATCAAACAAATAAGTAGCTATAAGGAGCTTTTTTTATAAAATTATAAATTATTCTTTTGCGAAATTTGGTAAGTAAATAAGTAGTTTGTAACGTAAATTGTGGTATCAGCTGGATGCGACTATGATACAGTAATTCGAAAGAAAAACTTAAATTGACAATAAATATTACTAATATTATAAACTAACAATTCTAAAGCTGTTGACCTTACTAAAATGGAGGCGCAAAAGGCACTCCAAACCCGCAGAAGGACTTATGGAGCGGCTGAAGCCTAACTCCTGCATGGCGAATACGACTTCAGACTAAGGGCACCACTTTATACATAATACCTATCATTGATAAATGTATCAATGTAATATTTCTATATTTAGACTATTACGTCCTAAAAAATTAAAGTTAATGTGTACAGATAAATAAATTAAGAACTGGTAATAACAAAGCGAAAGCGTGAAGAGAAACCGAGGCAGATCCGATCAGCTGGAAGCTCCGTAAACATAGAAACCATACTGTGCTTATTCACATATTACAGATAACATAAATAGTACACACTTAACAATAATAATAATATAAAATTTCTTGTGTTAATATTAGTTAAAAATATTTTTATGAAAAATATATTTATTATATTTTAGAAACACACATGTATAAATGAATTTATTTGCACGTGAATTACAAAAACAATAATATTCCCCTTCCAATAGATTTAGCGAAGGTCTTAAAAGCATTTCCGAGGGTACAGGTGTATTAGTATTATAATGTGCCTTATGTCTATATAGGAGTACTTCCATATTATCCTATATATTTCAAAGGCAGATAATAAATGTCTGAAGTTATGAACGTCACGTACGTGTAAGTAGTATTATATATTCTACTATTTCACAGCATATGTATCCACATATGTAATATATATTTTTTAGAAGTACATGAGTTTTTGCAATTTCGATTTCATGAACAGGTACATAAAGTCTAGTTTGATGTAATTGCCTTAGTTTCTGATGTTCTAAGGTACGTATGCGCAATATTGACTAACTGACGTCATAGATTCCCTATAAATTTAATAAAAATAAACAGTGATGACAAACAATAGACATAGTAAACGAGTGTGACACATGAAATCGTAAATAAATCGTACCATATTGTTATTATTTTAAGATATTAACTGTCAATATTTATTAACATAAACATACAAATTTGTATTTTCATTTACATATAAAACTTGTTACACATTTAAATGTTTTTGTACTTATACGTTCTACTCTCGACTTATATATATAATATAGTTCACATTGTTAGTACCTATAATTAGTATAGTAATCTAATTAATTGTAACTTATACGAAATGTAGCTATAGATACTCTAAATGAATAAAAATAAAAACCAAAACCAAATATGTAATATGCACAAAATTATCAAGAAGCCTAAATCTGAATATTTTAGGTAACTCCTGTTTCTTCCAAATTTCAAGCAGAAATTTAATATTAATCCAGTACTATGTTGTTAAATTTGATGACAAATCATCTAGTAACTTTTGCTAGATTCGTGTACTGGATTGACTGATGATAATTGGAGTCTTCGTATGTTTACTGTTCTACACTATTCAAAATTCTTACAAACTTCTAAATTCTAAACACAATTCTTATTTATACAAATATCAGTATAAAATCACACACTTTCTTAAAATGATAAAAGAATTCGGATACAGTCAAGTTAAAGTCAACAATGATTAGGATCGATCCTAATACCGTTCGCCGGATGCTAAAAACCTTCGTCGGATTTTATTATTACACTGAATAATATAGAGATTCGCTAGAGCCCCTTACAATATTCAGCAAAAGGAGGGATCTGCCCGATTTCCGATGAATGTAGCAAGAAGCCAAGTAACAGACGGACTGAATTAAATGACGTCGGTACTCTGGAAAATGATCGAGATCTGATCGGATTCAATGTGGCGAAAATAGATTATATCGATACTAATATTATAAATCTGTATTAATATTATAAAGAGAAAAGATGTGATTGTTTATTTATTTGTATTGACTATACTCCGAAACTGCGGGATCAATTTGAAAAATTCTTTTACTATTAGAATCCTACATTGTCCGTGATGAAAATAGGCGATAGAATACGAGTATCTTAAAAAAAGGCATCTATTTGATAACTTCAATAACGTAATTGGGTTACATTATTGAAGTTATCATATAGATGTCTTTTTCAAAGGCTTCAATATCCAATGTCTAATTATTACAGTTATGTCACAATAATTATGTTTTCATAATAAAATGTATAATAGTAACGCCGCGCCGGTACAAACTAGGCCAACTTATTCATATCTTTATTATTTTTGTTAAATAACCATGCAAATCCGATGCGGAATGGTAGTGTATTTATATTTAGGTACACAGGTAGGTTAATAGACATTATTATAATTTCTTAAGCCTAAACGAAATAAAATAAAAAATTTTTCAATATTCTTTGGTTATATTGTCGTTTTATAAATATGTATTATATAGCTTTAAATTATATTACTATTAGGAGGGCAAATAAATTAATGATAGAGTAAATATGAGTATATAAGCTTTTTTTCCAAACCTAATGAAATAAATGTTCCACTAAACGTGAAAGAAACCTAACCAATTAAAAATAACTCAAATTACCTACTAGAGAGTGTACTGAAACCTTGGACGGATTGTGACAGTGTTAGATACGGCTTCCTAGTTCATTCGCTCCTAAAGGCCATTATAAACTGTAATGTAAATAGGTACTTCTATACTTCATATATATATATATATATAAGTTTTTAATTATACTACCCCTGTATAATATTAATACGACCAAAGTAAACTGTTTCTACTCTGATTTATAAAAAAACTAAAATTCCTCTCTATAGTATATAGAAAGGAATTTTAGATTTCAGTAGTCAAATACGCAAGTTGATCATATAACATATCAAATTATATTATTTAACAGGAACAGTGTAAGTTAATAAAACTAGAAACTCACCCTTTCTCTCCTGGTGCTAATTTATTGCTCTCTACTATTGCCGTAGCTCTGATCCTATGATCAGGTTGTTCTCCTAAAAGTTTTTCACTTCTACCGTTGTTCAAATGCTCTCTCGCAACACTATATAGGTCACTTTTACTAACATCTTTATCACTAGTCACTTCACTTTCAATTTTCACTTCACTTTCCACTTTAACTTTGATACTTTTCTCACTTGAATCCTTTTCGTGTTTCTCAGGTTCTATTTTGTCTTCTTTAATCTCTGCTTCTTTCTTCTTTTCAACTTGAATACCGTTCGCTATAACAGGTGCAGGTTTCGCCTGCAATGATTTAGGTTGTGATTTCGGCGATGATATCGTAGGTTTACTCTCTATAGCTCCGTTTTCATTTATAGAAGTTACATATACTGTAGAGTTTGCTATATAACCATTTAACTCTTGTCTATTCTCTGGTTGTGTTCTTTTTCTTCTATTTAACTGAAATTAAATAGCGTATATTAACGACACGATTTTTTTTTTATTTAATAATATATTTTTTAAAATTTAAATAATCTACAAAGACATATGGATTCAAACGATAGTAAGAGTACATAAAAGTAAAGGATAAATTTATATATATAAATGTGCTACATATTATTAAATATATGTAACAAATAGAAATTAATAATCGGTATGCCGATAATTCTAAACTACACACATTTAAATACGTGTAATGTAATGCACCCAACGTGACGAACTGTCATAACGTAAGAGTAACTGTGGTAATAGGCAGGAAAATATTACCATATATACTCAGCTCCTACTTTAGTATTGTATTATTTAGAATACACTAGTTTACTGTTACTACGTAATAATGATAATCTTTTAACTGGAATAGGCATGATGACCAAAGTAAAAATGAATGAAACTTTAAAATAGTATATTTTTTAACTCTGTACGGGAATTTAGTTAAATTACAACAACGTTTTCAACTTTTTCCCGTATATATGTAGTTATTAAATATTAGTGCAAAATGAGTATAAGTTTTGAAAATATAATTAAAATAGATACCTAATAAAAATATTTTTTTATTCAATAAAATTCTTGTATTCAGTAAAACAATAAAACTTAGCAATTTAGCTTTGCAATTAATTTATTTTGGAGCTATGACACTTAAAATGATCTATTAAATTGCTATTTCAATAAACTAAATATCGCTGATTTTCAAGAAAATCGGACACAAAATTGTGGTCATCTACCCTTTGTACAACACACGTTATATCAGCCCTATTACTTATTTATATGGTTCCAAATAATCAATCACATAGTACATATATTACAACATCCTGTTGCTGACCTAAGTGCTAGAAGTGATGACAATATTTCTATATGATTTATATATTAACACTTAAAATATTTAAAATGTAATTGTTAGTTCAAAATTACTCATGATCATGAACCATTGTCATACGTAAATAAAAGCTAAAGAAGCTAAAGATAGTATAGTGTCAGCAATAAAACAATTATGAATAAAATAAGTTTTGAAAAAATTAAGTTCCTGCATAGATGCATCTAACAAAGAGGCTTTTGGACACAACTGGTGATACAAAGGTCACGAATTTTATTCGAAATTTTAATGGATTTGCCACAATACATCAGTTGGCTTACATCGCATCCAGTCCCGACCCCAATTAACTCAACACAAAAAAGAGCACTTGAGATAGGCACGCAAATACGGATTAAAAAAATGTGAAAGCCAACAAGTGGTCTTTGAGACCCTTGAAATGATAATTATTCGTTGCGTAAGCTCTGCGTCCTTTTTGATACAAAAAATACTTTTTGTCCGCAGAAGGAGACCATTGAGTTAGTTAGTTAATTTGAGCGCGCTAATCTAACAGACGGATTTAATAATATACTACTTAATATCACGCCACAATTAGGCACGGAGCAATAAAATCAAATCGAAAGAAATGGCTATGTGAATAGTACTGGCGAGCGACGTTATGCGCTGGGGTAGATCGGTGCAGGTTAAGCCAAGAGATACAACTGGTAAGGAATAAATACATCTTTGTTTTTATGTAAAGTAATGCCCAATCCAAATCTGAGAGCGACTGATTGAAGAATTCAACAACATTGTGCGAGAATGCTTGAGAGCAGATTGAAAGTAACGAAGCCGAAGCACTGAACAATAATTTATTTGAGTGTCGCAAGTGACGAGTGAAAAGTCAAATCATAAATAATTCTGTATTGTGATATAGAATTATTTTTTCTCGAGAATTATTCCAAGAATGAAATAGATCTAAGAATCTAACCTTAATAAATAAATATGTAATATGTAGGTACGCAGTTATTACATACAACTTTATTTGCCATTCCAGTTTAGTGACAGGAATTAACTTCTAGTTTTTTGGATTAATTCATAAAGCACTTATATTTTTGTAGGGTACTTGAGAAATTTATGACATTACATTTTAAGAATCTCACACCTTACGTCCCGTAGATACGTTATAGAATATATGTATACGGGACTGTAGTTTAGGGAGGGGACTTAATTTAATTGCTCCTGAATTTCGTTTATGAGAGACAGATATATAATTAAAACACATGAAATCTCGTCCTTCTTGGACGAGATAATAGGAAGAATCCTGTAAAATATTTTTTTTGTGCAACTACATATATAATATATTCAAAGTTGTAACAAGTATATCTACGAAAACAAATCTCTACATAAGATATTAAATATTTACTTTCAGCGTCACATAAAACTATAAAAATAACTCAACTTCAAATAATAGACCTAAATATCAATAGGTATTATCTAATTTATGCAGAATATTGCAAAATATTAATAATAATTAGCACACAGAAAAGAGATAAAACAAATAAATAAGTTAGCAGGAAATCGTATAACAAAAAGTGATCTTATTGCTCTATGCCAGATCTTGCAGAATATTTTGTTTTGAGAATTAAATAATACCAGTAACTTACGTATAATACAACGTTTAAGAATTAAGAAATCATATACACTGGATACGTAACAATGATCGAGCAAGCTTTCAGTTCTTTGTTGAGAAGTGTCCACGATATACTCAATATTTAAATTATAATTAGTAGACAGGTATACCCAAAGAATAATTGTTCTTAGGTTCCAGAAAAATATTAAGAGATCTTACCATGCTAAGTCTTTCATACAGAGTGTAACGAAGAGCTTATAACAATCCAACGGTGAATTTAGACAGACCGTGAGTGACCGTAAGAAACAGTGACTTTTAATACTGCATGGTTTTTTTGCATACTAACTCATCACTTACTTTGTTGATCGATAATTTTATACGTAATATTTTTTCATGAAATGAAAAACTGTTCTGCCCTTATCTTAGAGTTATTTTTGTTATTTGTTAAGAAATGACAAAATACTGTTATGTGTTATAGTTTCTATAGTATATTAAAATAATACGTTGGAGAATATTGTTCTTATTATTAGTATACTAACTCTCTTTTAGTAAATCCTTCAAATCTAGATTATAAAAAATTTTGTTTATGTTTAACAACCCTACGGCCGTCACATGATAATGTAATATGTGTGGAGCTATCATACATATACCAGGGTTGCCACTTACCTTCAAGACGACCTGCGTATGTGGCAACTCTAATCTGATTTTTACTTACCTCTACTGAAAGTTTGGACATGTCGACTGGAGTGATACGTTTGAGGGCTGACAACCGCTGTAGCCGCTGTCGAGCCTGTTCCTCCACCGCGATGAGGAAGGCATCTTGTATGATGTTGTGGCCGATGTCTGATACTGCGGAACAATAACATCTCATATAAAACAAATATCAAAAATGTCTTCAATAGAAATCGTCTGACTTGTATGAGACGGGAATAAAACACATTAATTACAAAAAAGAAGCAATGGCAAAATCATTCAACACAATCAAGTATTCAGATTTTTATTAAATGGTAATTTTACATTGTAATGATGAAGGAATGAATTCTGACTTTTAAAGTATTGTACTTTAAAAGTTATAATATTAACATATATCGAAATAAGTAACAAAATTAATCAATCGTAGCGTCAGACCATTTAAGTAAAACTTCAAGTAACACCCGCTCACAAGACGAGTATTTAGGTGCTCAATAACCCTCTTCTTTTGAAATCTGATTGAACAATGAATAGATTACCAAAATTCAATTGAAATCATTTTCCATAAGCACGTGGTAAGTAACCAGTATCATCCGTTATTTATTGACTGATTGCGAATCTGATGGAGCTATACAATTAATATTCCATCAACGCACTGCATTCCGTGCCCGCTTGACGTATGAGTCAATAGGTACGGGTACGTCTTGTGCAACGCTATTGTGACGCCTTCTCAATGAATACACAATTTACCGACGCTATTGTCTTCCAACCTGGATGGAACCAGATATATTTATATGAAATTATAGCATCACGAGCATATTTTCATCTAGTTTTGACTGCGTCTACATTGTATTGTAAAGTATGAATATGTTTTAAATAAATGCATTCAGGAGATTCCACGCCGCATACACACAAACTCATAAAATTAGCTTAGTAATGCGCACAGAAATAGATAAGAATTTTGAACTACTTTGTACAAGTCTAATTAAAAAACATTCCTTGTGATAACATACAATCATCCGGATAAATCCATAGATAAGTCGATACCCATCTAAGGTAGTTCCTTAATCAGGACCAGTCTTAAATATAATTGTAATCATAGACAAAGTATATTTATTCTATGGCGTGTCATGTGATGGAATGATGTCCAACATCAACCCACACCGATATCATTATTATGTGCGTGGGCAAATTATAGCTCCATTGATTGTTAAGTATTGTTAAAAAATAGGCAATTTTTAGATAGCATTTAGTTTAAATATAAAATAGTTTTTTTTTATTCAATTAATGTACGACACTGTACAAAAATTTACAGTGCCAAATATCATTCCATATTCATTTAAATTATGCCACAATTTGAAAATGTTTCTTAATAATGTAGCTTTAAACTTCAATATGAATGCAAATTAAAATTAAGTTGGGGCATAGAATATGTAATAGTATAATCTTGGGCTTCGGGTTGGAAGGACAGCGAGACCCATTTTGTTACTTTTATTTTATACAATTTTGTGGAACGGATTACAGTTTCTAGTTGTTGAAACAAAAAGTTTTCTGCCAATGTGTGTAGTAGTGGTATATACGATCATATCATTCAAAATATTATTTGTTATAGGACTACTGTTTTGGGTTCAGTGCAACGTATTTTATTGATTGTATCGTGGATTACTACTATAAATATTTAAGAATGTGTAAATTTCTAAATTGTAAAGTAGTTGTAAGAATACCGTTGTTATGCCAAATATAAAAATAAATAAATTTCTTCTTTCTTTATCGTATTAAGACGAAAATTTTTAAAACATTGATTGTATAAATAAGACGCAAATTTTACAAGATTTTGATTGTATTATAACAAATTTAAATATTACTTATGTCATTTTAAAAATTACTTCTCTATTACATTCGAAAATTATTTTATTAATAAAAATATCCCTACGATAATTGCAACTTGTAGCTGTCTAATATACTCGTATATAATATCTATTACATAGTGTACAGTACAGCTAAGCTTGGATTAAACGTATTTATGTGTGGACGAAGCTTTATGGATATTAAACAAGATTAAAAAACATTAAAATCTTAACCGGCTGGACCTTAACGTTTTCAAGACAGACGTTGTGATTATGACGAGATTATAATGACCCGTAATGTACTTAACAAATTCCTAAGGAGACAATACAAGGTCAATGTAATGTTTTATGGAATATAATTATTTTATATGGATTCATACGGACGGATAATTTACTTCAGAAGTTTTAATACATAAATATATTTATTCGATGCTATCTATACGTACAAAATAAAATCCCTGTGTCATTTGTCTGCATATTCGTGTCAATCTCAAAAACTACTAGGTTGTATTAATTAACTGTTATTTCCGTGCAAAACTGGGACGGGTCGTTACTTACAGTTATAAAGAAAATTTCAGATAGTAACTTTATACAAAATCTTTTACACCCATGTGTCCCCTAAAGTGTATATTGCTTAGACTGTAATATAATATTCCGAAATCCAGCATGAAATGTTATAAATGCTGAGGAAATCGAGAATAGTAATGAAACTGAGCAATCGAAATTTGTAATCCAATACGTGACCGTTCAATATTTAATTGATTTTAAATTGTATGTACCATGTACAATATTAAGTTTTTACTTGAGTAGGTACATTAAAAAACTTCGTTTTTTTCTTATACTACTATGGTGCTAATGAAGTACACGGCCCATCGCTATCATCAATCATAGCTAGTGGACACCTGAAACACCAGAGTTGTCATGTTCTCGTTGTCTACCTTTAATGAAAAACCCCAAGCAGTAACTTCTAGAGAAAACCTCATCATTCATTCAAACCAAATGCGGTTGTGATATTCTGTGTATATATGCAATTACAAAATTTCTTATACACTTTCTACTACATGCTATATGTTGTTTAATTACCTCAATGTAGAACACACTGAATATGTTTAGAAATAGACAAATTCACAAAAAGCATGCTCGCCTAATCAATGGAGAGCTGTATCGAATACTTTTTAATATTATTACGTAATATCTAATAATTCCAAGAATATTATAATATTTTTGTAAATCTTCACAGCTTTTCTTTATGGCCACGAGATGAACTCAATGTCTTTGGAATCCCAAGTCGAGTCAACCAAGAAAACAAGGCTTAAATACATCGATGCAGAAAATGGTTTGTTTACCACAGGTGTTTAAAAACGAACATATATTTTTCAAATCAATAAAGATCGAACCCTCGATTACCTTACCGCTCTTTTACATTATTAAGTGATAATAGGCACGCAGTGGGTGCATGAAATGCTGTCAATGTCTAGTAAATAGCACATCGATGTCAGCCGATGTTCAAACAGACACAACTAGATATTTGAATACCAAATGAGGCAGTTTATAATATAAAATATACATAATAAATTCACAATTGCGCAGTGATATCTACACATTTGTCTATCAGCAGATGAAATACCTTTCAGGTTTTATTAAAGCGATATGATTAAATTTAAAAATTACAGAGCAAAGTCCTTGTTGACTCATCGGTGACTCCAAAATTACTGAATTTAATAAAAATAATACGTATTGTATTAGAGAAAATTAATATATGAATATATTGGTGTTATTCATGTCTGCAGATGTTGGTTTCCAATTTCTATAATACCAGTTGTATAAAAAAACTACATAATAAGATAGTACGAGTACAATTTCAGTACCATTGCTTACTAATATTGCTAAATTTCTATCAAGAAAAGCAAAACATTATTTCCTGACTTGCGCTCTGATAATATACTGTGTACATAGTGAGTCATTCGCAAGTTGAATAAGATAATACGAAACTATTTCCTATTGTACCTACTCGTACACTACTTATGGGCTCAACTTTACTCATTCAAACTCATAGAGAAAGACTATACTGTTCGATATACCGACAAAAGTATTTGACCGATTAGGTATCCAACCAAAGGCGCGGTTTAAATCATACAACTTCCCTATCATCCTTTTTTATTTATTCTTGTGATAGAAAATACTGATAAATTTAAAACTAATCTAAATAAGGCTCGCCTCTATAACGTTAGATTCTAATGTTCTCGACGCAATGTGGGCATTACAAGGTTTAGGTACCAATACATTGAAACTTACCAATGTATCTGTAACGATCTGGTATAATACCGAATGCATTTATTTTTCTTAAATCCACCCATCCTCTATTTTCTCATTTGCGTATTACACAAATAAATTTATTTGTCACTAATATTTAATCAAAATGCGTTGTAAAAATCATAATTCTAATACATGCCTGTGGATTATTTTAGAGTAATTCAAATTACTGTTTCAATGTAATAGCATAAATCATGTTTTATCTCATTTCTAAAGTATTTTCTTTCTTATATGATGTTTTCAAACATATAATTGCTAGTTATGTTCTAAAAATGTCTGTAATACGAGTAGGTATACCTATATTTTCAATTGTTCTTATTGTTCTAGATTAGTGGATGACATGATACAGCCATATCGGCGGTTCTATTTTCATTTGTAAGTAAATGGGAAATCCTCCCCTTTACGAGGATCCAGAGCTCACGATTCATTTAGAGACAGAGGGTTAGATTGTTTTCCAAATTGGCACGGATCTGGGTGTTCCAAGTTTTTCTTTATCCGAAATTCCTATAGTACGTATCGAATATTTTCAACCAAATTCCAAAAGTAGGAGGTTTAATTGACTATATTTTTGGGAGTACCTTACGTCTCCGGTAAATTAAACAGTTTTCAATTTTTCTTTATTGATAGGGTTTATTTGGTTTTGGTTTTACAATAACCTGGTTTTTTAATTATATTGTAGTAAATTGTTTACAAAATATACTTTCATTGTTATAGACAGATAGATATTATATAATAGACGATTAATATCCTATTTAGTGCAAGCTTTATGAATTTGAAGTAAAATATATTTATGTGTTACAATTATTAGATTCCTTATTTTAAAAAAAAGCACGCAGAAAAAAATATAGTCACTTAAATTAATGAGTAGAAGTTAGTTCACGTTAGAAAGTACATATTAGAAATATATGTCCAACATTTGATACAATCGTTACACACCGCAACTGAAACACAAACATATATATGTAATATATCAAATAATATATCTAATGCTGGTTCACA